TGATTTTCTAACTCTAAAATAATTAAAAGTTATTTATTAATATTAAAAATTTACTTTGATATACACTTTCTGAAAGTGCCACCATCACATATATATATATAAATTTGTAATTGCTATCAGCTAAACCAAGCAATAGATTTAAAAGATCTATAATTGAAAAAATGGCAGATTTTGCAGGACTTTTGATTTTTATGTGCTTACCATCTAATGAGCCAAGGCAATTTGGAAATCCATGTTTCTCAAAATATTCTTGTGCAATCTAAAATGTTTGATTTTCTAACTCTAAAATAAGTAAAAATTATTTTTTAATATTAAAAATTTACTTTGATATAAACTACTATTTCTGAAAGTGCCATCATCACATTTATATATTTAAATTTGTAATTGCTATCAGCTAAACCAAGCAATAGATTGAAGAAATTCGCCATATTACAAATCACATGGTATTAAATCGATTAAAGTTTAAAAAACGATAATGAATTTTATTTGTAATTCATTTGTATATATACATTTATATAATTATCCAATTTAATTTCTAATAATATGCAATTTGATTAACCTCGATAATATAATATTACATGTCGGAAAGTTATAATATAATAATATACATATAACGTCCTTTTAAAATATATAACGTCCTTTTAAAATATATAACGTCCTTTTAAAATATAAAACGTAACCTTTTAAAATATATCTTACAATAATAAATATTCAAATGTAACATATATGCTTTCCCACCAAGTTAAGATCGTCTACCAATCTTTTTATTTACCAAGTTCAAGTTCATCTATTAATCTTTTTGTTGGCTTTAGATCCCTTGTTGGATAACACGTTTGCCTTCCTTTTTGACTTGGTTCAATTGTTATTATTGATTTGGTTACTTTTGGTTCTTCCCTTATGTAGTTGGTCGGGATGTTTTAATACGGTTTTGTACGTTTATTATTTTTTTTTCTTTTTCTTCTTCCCTTTTCCAGAATTGTGATGGCGATTATAGTTTTTCGACATCTTTATCAAATTATTCCATTTTCGTTTGTTATCCCTGTAGATCTATTATTTGCGATTAATTCTTCAAACGTTGATAAAATTATTCACCACATAATCGTAGTTCACCTGACGTACCACTACCATTGGAGTACTCCAGGTTACTCTATATAGTTTGTCAATATTCACGTTACCATTATCATTATATTGTTGATCATGTTAATTTCTACATATGTTAATAACGATAAGTCAAATTCTATAATCCCTGGAATCAAAGCTGTGTCAAATTCTATAATCCCCGGAAATCCAAATAGGCTGTATCAATCATTTTGATAGTGCCCTTTATAGCATAAATTCTATAATCCATGGAAATCTAAATAGGCTGCATCTTGCCTTTATCATAAATTCTATAATCCATGGAAATCTAAATAGGCTGCATCGTGCCCTTATCATAAATTCTATAACTTTGTTTAAGTTTCACGGTTGGTCTTCGTCTTTAGTATCTGGGTATCGTTCCGGCGATTAATTGATCGCGAATTCTTAATTCTGCATTATCTTCAAATTCGCATCTTCGAGCTATCCTTTATATATATATATTTTTTTATATAGCACATTACGGATTCAGTAGGGCCGCGATTTAATCTAATGAAATCAATTGCTCCTCTATCAATAGAAAATTTTGAGGATATTTTATGTGTCTATAGTCGTCAATAGCCCATTTATCTCATTCATCTTTATCCATAATTGCTAAATCAATTTATATATTTATTTTTTTTTAAACAAAAAAAATTATAATTCTATATAACATTTAACTTGACCGAAGACCCAAAACCCAAAACCGCGCGACATTTTACCTCGTCGCCAAATATTAAATCGATTAAAGTTTAAAAAACAATAATGAATTTTATTTTTAATTCTTCTGTATATATACATTTATATAATTATCCAATTTTACTTTTAATAATATGCAATTTGATTAACCTCGATAATATAATATTACATGTCGGAAAGTTATAATAAAATATACAAATAACGTCCTTTTAAAATATATAACGTGACCTTCTAAAATATATCTTACAATAATAAATATTCAAATATAACACATGGGAATTACCATTGGTTTAAAATTGCTATGATGATTACATTGGTCATATATTTTTTAAAAGAATACTATTGTTTGAATTTGATTGACTTTTTTTGAGGATTATTATATAAGATATGAAATTAAACATTTAATAGACAAATCTAAATCTTAATTAAAATAATAACTCATTCTAGATTAGAGTAATTTAAAGTGTACCTACCCGAATGTCTATGTATTAAATGAAGGCTATGATGTATATTTTTTTAAAATAGACTAATCAGAATTTCCAAAAAGTGTCTCATAGCTATTACAACTACAAAAACTGGATCTTTACAAGAGAATGACCAAATATTTATCAAAATAGTCATTTAGTATCGTTTTTTAAAAAAATAAATTTATAATATATTTTTACTTACCTATTACCTTGTTTCTTTGCTAATAGAAAATTATTTTAAAGATTATTTATAAATAGAAAAAAATAAAAATCTAATTTTTTAACTAAAAATAAATCAATTTTTTTAAACTACAAAAATCAAATTTTTTGTTATACATAATAAATATGAATAGACATGTTAAACCTTTTTTTCAAATTTCTTACATGGATTTTTTACAAAAAAAGAATAATGCTTTGCATGTAGTACAAAGAAAATATTTTATTTTTCAAGACTCTAAAAATAATTGAATAAAATTACAGAATCTGTTAGCCCCTTAAATTATTTAATTTCAGTGACCCGGAAAGGCTGCCTCGCTCGCTCCGCCCGTCTGTACGGCTCTGTGTGGAAGTTTGATCGGTTATATTTCCCTTTTAAAAAAAATAAATAGAAGTAGTCCCCTACTCAATATGCGAAACCCCGAATATGACATCATTCCGACATTTTATCACTTTCATTTAGTTTGTCGCCTTGCAATGCGAAAAAAAATATGAAATTATTTTTTAAAAAAGTATATAGTTGTGTATCTAGCTTTATTTACGATTCAACTTTTTAAAGTAATTTCTTATATCTGTCTATATACAACTATAAATTATCCTTCCCGCTACATATTTATATTCGTTTATTTACAATTTTCTATTTATAAGCATTTGAAAATTCGATAGAATACTCAAATTGCAGGAGAAGTGGTTAGGTGGATATTAACACCACCTGTGTTTGTGGCATGAATTACATAATCTCGTCATCACAGTAAGTAGAATATAAAATATTGTTAGAAGAATCAGAGATTGCGCGTTAAGACTTAAAAGAAATGTTTGATTTTGTAAATAGCGAATGCGTTGCACGACTTCCGTTGTGTTATATCTGATAAAAATTAAAACCATTGGTATCTTTACAGAATACAAAATTAGATATGATATCGGATTGGTAATCAGCCGATATCAATTTAATATCGGATCGGATCGGCCTCTAAAAAGTAGTATTGATACACCCCTAATCTGAACGATAAAAATTCTTATCTTTAAGAGCGCTTTAAATTTGGTCAATCTAATAATTAAAAAAACTTTAAAACTAAACACTTTGGTATAGCATTTAATGATGCTATAAGGTGAATTAAACTCAAAAGCCTACTTATTAATAGAATGATAAATCATGAACATTAATTATTCAAGTTTGAATGCAGTTTATCCAAAGATATCTTGAAATTCCTAAAATCATTTCAAGATATGATTTTTCCTCATCTCAAAAAAATATCATAAATTTAGCTTTACTCTTAGTGAAATCCTTTGATCGCAAATGATAAATAACGTCGATATCTTTATTTCCAAGCAAAATATAAATAGAAATCCAGTAATTGATCTTCAGGTTATTAATATATTATCTACATATTTTATATTTTTTCAAGGTATTCACTGAACCATTTTTAGACCGTTTTAAAAGTTAAATATAGTTAATTATTATCTTAAAATGTTTCACTTCCGTTCAATTTTATGTCATGCGATCTTGAACTTATAAAGATATGGAACAAGTAATAGAATACGAGAGAGATTTTTATATTGAAAATTATATACAAAATTAGCTTATAAACATTCAATATTCAGATGAAAAACGATATGGAAGATTTAGAACAAGAATAATGTTACTTTTTTTATTTTCTGATCTATCTTCGCCGTTAGATAATGTTCAAGTGTTTCGGAAAAAGAGAATCTAATTTTATAGACTATCTGTTCTAGCCAGGATAATATTATGGACCCGGCTACAAACATTCTCAGTGAGCGTGCTCTTTCAATCGCTCTTACTTAAGTTTAAGGTCCAGATGAGAATAATGAGGATGTTGGCTGGGGTATCAAAAAAAGGATAAAACACTAATACAGATATAGCAGGAAGTTTAAAAGTAGTACCCATTAAAACAAATATCACGGCCATACTATGAGAAGGCATAAAAACTATACAGATTGTAGAGGACCCATAAAGTTAAAGCCAATATCTTAAAATAAATTGTATAAAAGAGATTATTTGAATAATATACCACCCGAAAAGGTGAAAACTATAAAGGATACATAAATAAAACTATTATAAATTTTATTTAGCCCAAATTGTTTAATAATAATTTTAGTTTTCATGTTTTTTATCGACGTACAGGTCTAATCTATACGAATATATAAATATCTAACTCAAAATTCTTGCATTATAAAGTGACGAGTTATTAATGACCGTGATAAAGTGTTGGAGCGATAAATTACCAATGTCGCGTTACGAAATGTCGTCAGGCGGGTTTGTTTATGCCATTTTATTTAACTCTCACATATATATGTTAAATGAATTGAAGTTACAAAATCTGTAAAAACAATATAATTTCTTTAATGTCTATAATCTATAGTAATTGCGAATTTAGATGTGTTTAAGAAAATTTATAAAATGCGAGTGTTATAAAATACTAGGAGAATCTTGATATTCGGGGCACTTAATTTGACATATAATTTGTATTATATCGCGATTATTAGATCGAAGTTGATATACCACGATGCCACCAATACAACGAAATCTTAGCCTCTTCCGAAGGCCATCGTAAATTTAAGAACATCCTCAAAGCTTGGATTTTGTCCCATCCAGATTATGTGTACTGGCAAGGACTGGATTCACTTTGTGCTCCCTTTCTTCTCTTGCATTTTAACGATGAAGGTTACAATTCTTTTTACACTAATTTATCATTCATTGTATAATGCTAGTTTTTCTAGAAACTTGTTTATAATAAATATTCTCTAATTCCAATCATTCGTGATATTTCCAAGTTTTCTACCACTTGTTCCTCTTGTATTATTATTAACAAAACACGATTAAGGTTTTTAGTTTTTATACCCCTTAATTATTTCAAATATTTTGTAATTGTAACTGTTCTTTATTGGAATAAAATTAACAAAGTCTGAATCGTACTGATAATATTTTTATAACGAATTTCCAAAATAAAAATTATTTGCCGATACAAAATACTAAAAGTGCCGAATAATACAACATTAACTTGTATATAAATACATAAAGCATCTCATGTTAAATAAAAATCAATCATCCAATAAACAAATAATCATAATACAAAATAAACATTTAAATATTATTTGGAAATAATATAGCAACATTATTTATCCAGACAATATATTTATAATTTTTTTAGGTTTGCAATTATTTTTATCTACTGTTTTTCATATTTGAAAGTATCCTTATCCAAACCATATTTATATCAATTTTTTTTAAGACTTAGGGGAAATGTGCCATAAATGGCCATGTTTGAAAACTGGCCATCATCTTTTAACTTTTTATCTATCGGACAGATTTTTCTCAAAATTGGTCAAAATGTGTATATTTATGATATGTACTTTACCTAAGTTTATTTATTGAATAGAGCAATCCATTAAGAAAATATTTTACATAAATTTAGTACCTCTTCCTGGAAAAATCACGTTGCACATTTGTTTGTTTGGTAAAAATTTACTAATTTAGATTACTGATATTTTATATAAATATTTAGGCATTTAGCATTAGTTACACAAAAAATTAGACTTTAAAAGTTTTATCTAATAGATATATAAAGGCGATTGATAATAATAGACAGGGGAGTATTGTCTGGTCAAAATTCATCCATTCATAAGCTCGCGCAAAACAATATTTGGTGCAAAGTGATAACAAATTAAACTGGCAATTGATGATATAATCATTAATAAAATATCAACATTATCATAGCTACTAAATTTAATATTCCTAAAACAACCTTAAGAAGAGCAATAAATAAATACAAGGAGACTTTGCAATATCCTCATATGGTATGGAGTTCAAATATAATATTCACCAAAGCTCAGATATAATTCAAGCTAGCAAATCATTCATGGGTTTTGGCATAAAACAGGTAAAATTGTAGGCAAATCATTTACCATATGTGACATATCATCAATTATTAATCTAATAATGAATTATATAACTTAACATTATGTAACAAGTCCAACAATAATTTTAATTCACATCTATTCTACCACATTAATTTTATATAGTAATAATATTATCAAAATAGACAACAGGAAAAAGAAATCAAAAATTTTGACCTCATCACTTTACACATCTCAACCTCAACTTAATATCTATTTAATTTATATAATTTAATTTATACGTCTCAATTTAATATATATAATTTAAATCATACTTCAATTTCGAATTTTTTATTATTAAGTCCGATAATATTTTTTAGAGTTTTTTATTACAAATCCAATAATAAAAATAGTTCAAAAGTTAATAAATTTTCCAGAAAAATATCATAAATCTGATAATGAATATTCATAAAAAAAATAAGTCCAGAAAAATATAATAATTCTTAGTTCTTATTTATTATAATACTTTGTTTTAAATTATTTAAAAAAAATATTATAAACCGTTATAAAATAAACGAAAATTAGGACATGCCACTCCTTTATGGGTACAAGGCATTCACTAGCAAAATTTTATATAATATCTAGTAAATATTTAAACAATAGTACCGGGTATATCTGAAATATTACAAAATATTTTAAATAATTAAGCTGAGAGCTTTTCTTGTTCATATCTATGTTCATGGTGATTAATATTGATATTATTGGAGTAATTGCCATGGTAACCTTCGGCGTCAATGAAATATTTGTTGAGCTATCATCAATACAGTCAAGTGAGAAGATCAATGATCATAGAATATTGTTTCCAAGCTGTCTGGCTAAGCTGTTTTGTTATATTGTAGTATTCTTTGGCATGGACACTCAGACTGACAATTTATACAAAATTGGACATTTTTTTTAACTATTGAAGATTTATTCCCAGACGGAATTTACATGTTGGCATTCTTTGGAATCAAGTAACCTACTATTAATTTAAATTTCATTTGGGAGGGAGTTTGGATGATAAAATGATATACAAGACACGACAATTTATAAAAATTTATAAACTAATAAATTAATTTAAAAAAAATTATTTTATTTAAAAAAATTTTTTTTTTAAAATATCAATACAATTATAAAATTTGATGCATAAAAACTTTGTGACAAAAAAATTTTTCTATAACAAAAGATTGTACATTATTTTGTTGGACAGTTAAATAAAAATGACATAGGGTTAACCATACAAAGGAAATTTTTTTTAATCAATCAACACTATTTCAATATTTTTATCTCTAACAAGCCACATTGAGAAGAAAGAACAAAAAATTTTTTTACCACATATTAAAAAAAATTTCTTTTAATTAACAGTGTTTAACAACAATTTATTTATACACGTAAATTCACAGTGTTATATTCCACTAAAAATTTTCTTTTGTACAATTAAATCAAACAACACATGAGGTTTTGCGGTATCACTCCACAAGTGCAGTTCTTTTATTTTTCTCAATTTTAAATCACATTACTATATAGATAAAAATATCAATTGGTATAAACATATTTCCACTACTGCATAAATAACCATATATATGCCATTTGAATTATCAAATTTTTTATTAATTTTATTATTTTACTTGGCATATAATAACAACTGATCTCTTAACTGATCGAAACTTGTGAAGAAATTAACTTTTTCTTTAATATATTCGATGAATAAACATATCAGTCAATTCACTTACAAACAATTAATTGAATTAAGTATCTTTAAACCCTTATAAATAATGGATGACAGATCAACAATTAATTGAATTAAATGTCTTAAACCTTGATAATTTAAGAATAACAGATCAGCAATTAATTGAATTATGTATCTTGGGTTTAGGATCTGGACCGTGTATGATCACGACGATGTCATACAACCAGAACCCCATTTTCTAAATTGATTTGGATCCCAAATTTGTTACTATATGACATTTTTCCTATTTTTTATTTTTATTGTCGAACAAACGAGCCAATATATTTTGTCCCATATGAAACTTAATATTCACTTTATCACAGGGTAATATAATAGTACTGCCCTTTGGTTTTAAAAAATGTAATGGCCCTTAGGTTCTTCTACCCAAAAACAATTCATATTTTGAATTATTTTAATATAACAGGGCCATCCAAATCTCATCTTTTTTTCGTATTTGGCTTTTTTAATCCAATTTTTACTATGTCTCTCAGTTTACCCGTTAGAGCTAGGATGATATGGTGGACCAACATATGTCTTATTTGTAAAGAAGTACGGAAATGTCTATAATTTTTACTGATGAACGCTGGACCTCCATCAGATACAATTGTTTTTGGAATCCCAAATTTAGCCCACAATTTTTTAATAATTTAATAACAACCTTGGTCGTTAATCCATTTAGTTCTTCATATTCAATCTACTTGGAATATGAATCCACAATTAAAAAATAGTTTTTTTTATCCAATTCGAAGAAATTCACCTGGACCCTTTCCCAAGGCTGATTAAACCTTAGCCACACATTTCCCATTTCTTTGCAGGGCATAGAGGCACAGGTATTACATGGAATAAATTTTTTTGTAATTTCTTCAATATCACTACCCATACCAGGCCACCATACAATTCACGAGCCCAAAATTTTACTTTACCCCAACGATGTCCGGCATATAATAGATTAACAATTTTACCACGTAATTTAAAAGGAATTACAGCCCTATTCCCCCGTATAATACAATCATTCACCACGGACAATTCTTTTTCATTTTTTTATAAATCTTTCAATTATTTTTCCACTTAAGAATAATTTTATTTGACTCAATTCTTTATCTTTTAAAGTATTGAATTTAAGATCTTCCCAATTTGTGGGACCACTTTTTAGCATATGCGAAAGAGAACAAACCAATACTTTCTTTATCCATTACTTTATCTTTATTAAAGTCGAGATCTTCTTCACTCTATCCCATTCTGGATAAAATGTCAGGCAAACAATTTTCTTTGCCTCGGCGATATCTAATTTCCACATTGAAACTTCCCACTAATAACAACCAACGTTGTAATCATGGTGATAACATTTATTCTCGATAATCTTTTTTGAATAAATGAATTAATGGTTTATGATCGATATAAATTACAAATTTTTTCCCAATTAAATATTACCGACATTTGATTAAACCAATTCTGAAGGGTGGAAATGGATCTGCTAACACTAAATTGACAATTGCTCACACTTTCTAGGTCAAGATCATGATTAGTTGGAATGTAACTTGAATTCCTTAATCTAGGATATAAAAGCAGCAAGAGAGAGGAAAGATGGAAGGGAAACTAATCCCACCATTTTTACACGGAAGATTGACCTGGAGCCACAATTTGTCTGAAAATTTTATATTGACAATAGCCTCCATCATTGTGCGGATATGCAACTCATTCTTGAACAGGCTATTTTTGCAATGAAAGATTGGGGCTGATCATAGCATATATGACCTTGGATACGTTAAATATTACTTTTATACTTGGCAAAATTTTATATGCCCTAATTTTTAAGTAAAAAGAACGCCTGATGGCCTGGTAATTCATTTAAAATTGGTTGTATATCTGCTAGATTGGAATGGTTTTTGTCTAAAAATGTCTTAATTCCGTGACACCTACAATTAGAGAACCTATTCCTGAATGAAGGTATATTTGAGAGAGAAGATTGGGATAGAAGAAAGATTTCAAAGTAGGTTTGTGTTTTGTATTAAATGTATGATTAGGTAAAAATTTTGAATAAAGACGACCGTCCGGCTATT